TCTGCGAGTCCATCAACCCCAAGGTCCCTCACTTCAACGCCCAGATCTTCCTCGAGAACAAGACCGCCGTCGGAAAGGTCGACGAGGTCCTCGGTCCCATCAACCAGGTCTTCTTCACCATCAAACCCACAGAGGGTATTCAGGCCACCTCTTTCAAGGAGGGCGACAAGTTCTACATTGGCTCAGAGAAGCTTTTGCCCCTCGACAAGTTCCTCCCCAAGCCTAAGCCCCCGCCTGGAGCTCCCAAGCCCAAGCGCGCTGGCGGCGGTCGCGGTGGTGCCCGCGGTGGACGCGGCGGCTTCGGTGCCCGAGGTGGTGGCCGTGGTGGCTTCGGCGGCGGTCGCGGAGGTCCTCGAGGCGGTGCTCGTGGTGGCTTCGGTGGTCGTGGAGGTGGCCGTGGCGGCAGCGGTGGTTTCTCACGAGGTGGTAGCGGCTTCGGTGGTGGCCGGGGCCGTGGTGGTTTCAGCCGCGGTGGCCGATAATCTCTTTACGACCATGACGACTACGGATCACTTCTATTACAAGGGAGGACGAAGTCGACGTCTTAAACTGCTGTAGCACTACGCGACCCACGAGAGCTGCTTAAAGGGAGACAGGGATCGAAAATCATTGGATTTAGGAGGTGGGAAAGTAGGAAGAAAGAAAGGGATCAACATGTATTTCTCTGGCGTTGGACGGTATCTGATTTTCCAAAGTGCTATGCTTGGTTTGGTTTTCCCCCACTGGCTCTATATCCCAAATCCTGCGATTGCGATGTTCGTACGATACGGCATTGGATTGGAGTTTGTATGTACAGACACAAGAGGATTCAACGAAGAAGACAAGAGAGAAAACGAAAAAGAACAGGCAACCTTCTAACTTGACTTGTGTGTTTATTGTGATATCTATACATGTCCCAAGATATTCTGTATATCTCATCCCGTCCATGCTCATGGGGTATATATAAGGCTCAAAATGTTGGAGCTCCTGGAACGCCATGCAAACAAACAAAAAATCACTCCCTTCGACGTCTTAGTAACGCCGCGCATAACAGACCTAGGGCCAAGATAAAGGCCAGCCCTCCCAGTCCTAGACCAAAGTATTGCGCATCTCGATATCCTCCCAAAGGGTTCTTACTGCTTCTTTTTCCCATTTCAACAGCTCCCGCCATGCCTAGTCCTACCGAAAAGGAAAATGCTGCAGCCGTGTTGGTGATGCTGTTTGCGAGTCCAAGTTGTCCCTCTGGGACATCTCGTCCAAGCACCGTCGCGGAAGCGGGTATAATCAATACCATACCAACTCCCATGAAGATGGCGCTGACAAATGTGTTGGCCCAATATGCTTGTTGCGTTGGGGCTGTTGCCATCAGAGCCGAACTGATCAGAATGGAGATTGATGAGGCCACCATGGCCAACTGAGCTGTATAATCACGGTTTACAAAGGGCCAGCATGCGAAGGCGACGACAACACCAACCACGACTATTGGTACAAGACCAGCACTTGTAAGAAGAGTCCCCCAGCCTCTAACAACTTCGAGAAACTGAGCGAAATACCATACCCAGACTCCGAATGCAGCTGAAGCAGCTGTCACGAAGCCCAGTGTGATACCAGCAGCCAGATGAATCTGCTTAAACGGTACCAAGGGATGACTGGCATGCGACTCGAAAAAGGTGAATAGTGGTACAACTATGATGCCAGCAAAGATTAGGATGTACGCTTGGGGAGTATCCCATCCTACAAGCGGGGCTTGGTTCCAACCAGCGCTGAAAAGGATCAAGGCAGCGATTCCAAATACGAAACCCAATATATCTAGGCGTTTCCAGAGATTGCCTTCGAAGTCATAGACCAGAATTCTCTTCACGGGGACAACAAGTATGCTCGAAATCCCAAGGGCTGTACAGACCGCGGCCAAGCAGTAGAAAGCCCAAGGCCAGGAGGCGTAATTGGTAAAAAGACCCGTCATGACTGATCCAACAACAAACCCGAAAGGGACAGAGGCATCGAATATCCCCATTGCAAGCATCTTGCGAGGTCCGGGGGGGTAAGCCCTCACCAGCATTCCGTGTCCATTTGGGATAATGAGTGCTGGGCCAATGCCTTGCATAGCTCGACAGAAGCAGAAGAAGACGGCTCCTCCACTGTCACTCGTCTGCACATGCACACTCAGGCCAGCGAGAAGACTCCAGAGGGCGAACCAAAGATATCCGGTGATGAAGGCATATCTTTGACCGCAGACGTTGCCGATTCGGTTGCCAAAAAGAGTTGTCGCGCCATAACTCAGAGCATATGCCGAGGTGAACCAAGCAAGGTGTGTTGTACTTTCTGGTTCGAAGAATGACTCTCCAATTCGTCGCGCAGATGTCAGTGTCTGTGCAAGACTAGCATATGTCAAGACTTGAGCCATGCATATGATGGCAACAAAAAGGCCTTCGTTGGTGGCATGGTTGAACTCGATCATCCTCGCCCCTTCGTTCAGGGGTTTCCTTCGCAAACCTTGAGTTGCCGGTGAAGAAGGATCTGGATCAGAACCCGCACGAATGTGGGTGATTGTGCCTAGTGGGAGAGATCGTGTGCCCATATCAGGCCTAAGAGCCATGTATTGATGATGCTGTGTTGTCGATCGAAAGGCTTCGAAGCGTCTAGCGGCCTGGACGAGTCCGCCATGGTTGACCGAGAAGTCCGATGGGGCTGGACCTGTATTATGAACAGGATGCTCATCTTGTCGAGGCTCAGCCAGGGTTACTGGAACACTGAACCGTGGAGGGGGTGTATGAGGCGTATCTAATCGTGGTGGTAAGTTTGGTGTTGCTAGTCGAATCAAATCTTCAGGGATATGTGCAGAAATCTCAGTCATTTCCGATTCCATATCTCGGTCAAGGAGAGAGTCCGTCTCGGCATTTGGGGGTCGTCCAGGCATAAGTATTGTAGGGATAAAGTTGCTTCGAGGAGAGATGGGTGAAACAGTCATCTCTGACACACTCGTCTGGCTCACCACGTCCATGTCCAACAAATTCACATTCTGGGATATTTCGCTGACGCTAGAAGGACTTCGAGCATGAGAACGCGAATGTGACTGAGAATTGGAGCGTGAATGACGGTAAGTCTGAGCTTGAGAGTGAGAATTAAGGTGTGTGTAAGTGGGAGCCGGCGTCGCTGGAGAGTAGCCACCATATTGTTGCTGGTAATGATGTCGAAAAGATTCTGTCACGGCAATCATTGTATCGGCGACATGTTGCACGGCAGAATTAGATCGATTGATTTCTCGACAGGACTCAGACTTTTCAGAGTCTTGTCGCGATACACTCCGGAGCGGCTCCATCGTAAAGTTGGTGAAGTAGTCAGCAATGCTACCGTTAGCAATAGTCGCCCCTCATGTCCTCGTTTATATCAATGTTTTGGAAAGTGATTATGGTTGAAGGAAGAGAAGGTGTTAATAGTTAATAAGCAGATGATCAAGGTTGCGGAACGATCATCACTGAATCAGAAATCAGAATCGGAAAGACTCGATAGTCAACCAGTTGAGACATGATCAGGGACACTTGGGGTAATAGTTGATGGAGAAGGCTGCGCTTTTACAGCTTACAAGGAGGATAATAACCCATGCCTCTGGCTGTAAGTGGGCATATCGCTTCGTAGGATGGAAGCTCATCCATACCACTCTGTAAGCCTCCAGGGCTGACTCGCACTCCACAGCTAAGCCTAGCTCTAAGGATCAGACTCTAGTTCAGGGTCCGGAGGTTGAGAACCTATTACTTCCACGTCTTAGCCCAACCGTTAGTTTTTGAAGCGAGATGAGGGTGGGTAGTGTAGTGTATGGGTGAGACAGACATAGAAACATTGATCTTGTAAGTCGTCATTTTCTATGAGAAAAGTTATTCTCGCCCCTGTGAGGATTGCTGTTGGTAGTGATCTGCTTGTCACGATAATTGACACTTATTTGGTAACGCTTTACCTGCATCGCAAGCTCTGCATTTAACATTGAATAAAGCTCGACTGGTAAGATACGGGAGGAACCGGACTGTTTGGAAAGTCGGTGATGCATTGACACAGGCGGCTACAAAGAGTAGTGTAAAAATTTGGTTGGCTTGTTAATCATGATCTTGTTGGTGACGATGGAGAATAGAGAAATAGTGGTGTTGGTGATATAGTGGAAAGCACCTCAAATCAAAGCGGCTACGACCAACACCGTAAGAGATAGGATGTGCTACTCCTTCTTTCTCCAGGCTGTCATTCTCTATTCGTTGATCATCAATATTCTCCCTCCTTAGTAGGTAGTATCACAATCATCATAGCCATCATCATCAGTGTAACCAAATACCCAATTGGGTGTTATTCCTCACATCCCGATGATCTAATCCCCATCCTTGTCTATCATCAACAGCACAGCCACCCGTCACTCTCTAGAGCCTGTTAGTCCTAGCTGGAGTCAGTGTGATTACTTATTTTTCAGTAGGCCATCCTTAGGGTTAAATAAGAAATAACCGGTTTTACCTACTTAGATATAATTATTATTAGCTATGCCATACTTAAGCACTAGCTTATACTAATAGTCCTATAGCTAAGCTACTATAGCCACTATAGCTAACTTAATAAAATAACTTAATAGAAGTCTAGCTTACTTAAAGAAAACTCTATATATTAATAAGTATAAAAGCTTTATAGTAACTTTATAATAAATTCTTTTTTTTTATACTTTTAAATAGCTTAATATAAAGCTATTTATTATTAAAACTATATTTAAATTTAATTTTATATATAAATAATAAAAATATATTATAATATAATAATTAAAAAATTAAAAATAAAAAAATAAAAATAAACTAATTGCCAAACAAATAAAGCTTTTTAATAAATATATATTTAAAGATAGGTTAACCGCAGCTACACCAAAAGTGAGGCTAAGGTTGCACAGTCATGATAACACAATATAAGGTTTTTTTAACCTCAACACAATATAAGGCGTTATACACCACGCCAAAAAAACACAGTAATAAATATACATAAAAGGTTTAAAAACAAGTAGCCCTAGCCCGGGCTCGAACCGGGAATCTTCTGATTAGAAGTCAGACGCGTTAGCCATTACGCCACAAGGGCTAGTCTACTTTTTAACAGTGGAGATTTTTCGATGGGAACTATTGCCAGCATTTCAGTATAAGTACTTTTGTGTTTCAGAAATGCCTTTATGGACCAAAAAATAAGTGATCATGCACGACGAATGTTCTGATTGGAAGTCAGACGCGTTAACCATGTGAGATTGAGACTGGTTGTCTTGAGCTTCTAGCTCCAAGGCCTCTGACTGCATGTTTCAGAGGCTGACGGCGTTAACTGGTCTGTATCAGATTGGTGAAGACTCAGACTTTTGATCATTCTGGTTTTTCTAGTGAGACACTTTTTATTCTTTTCTCAATCGCCTCCAAATCATAAAAATCTCCCCGCCATCTTGTCCTTGTACTGGGAAATCGGCACCCTAGCTTCACCATGTTTTGTAGATCCACTTACAGCAGAGAGCCTCAGATTGTGCGTAAACATCACGTATGGCTAGCTCTATTTTCGAACATACCCGGCCTCCAATGTTCAATTATTACGTCTGTTGAGAATTCCGAAGCTTGTCTAAACCTTTTGTAGAGCTTATGATCGTTCAAACACAACAAAACCTCAACCGAAATGCGTTCATTAGGAGGATTCAACTCCAGATCCCGCAGGATTCGAATATCCACTGTCGTTAGCGAGATTCACTGCCTCCAAATCCCGACTACATGGAATGAGACCGAAAACAGGCGGTCTGAATTTGATTATGAAGTGTACGCCTAGTCAGATTCTTATCTCGACGATTTCACATGTCATATTCCTACCATTTGTGACAAACATCAAGCCAGAATCTACCTTTAAAACAAGCCAATTCAAACGCGGAGCGAACTCGATATAGCTGTATGTGAGATGCCCACAACACTGTGCTCATCCGAAGAGAGATCGATGCAAAGTCCTCACAGGAATCAAGCACCAAGATAAGGAATGTATGGGTATCATGAACTACCATTGTTTCAATGAGCTGCGTGAATCATGCCCTGTCCAAACCCCTAAACCCCCAAACCCCAAATGAAAATGTCTCCGAGCGTATGCGCTGAAACCGTTTTATATCTTTTGTCCTTGCGAACTTCCTGTTGAACCCCCTGCTTGACCTCAAGATACCTCCAGTAATAACAAGTGTATGCTCAGATCCAGATGACATCACCTTTACTCCACCCAACTTCCGGTGCGGTTGCGCCGAACCATCATACCATGTTAAATAGTATCTCGGCTATCTTTTATGGCTTAGGAATGCGAATAGTCTTGCTTGTCATGAGGCAGCCATGAATCATGAACAGAATGACGGCAGGATGAAACTCGAAAGCGGAACCTTGGAACCAGACACCGAAGGGGAGGTTGTCATGAACCCAGCGCTGCGAGAGCCAGTAGGCCATAATGGCGTCCATACCGAGCGAAGTGGGGATGGGAGTTCCCTCGAAATACTGGCTCTTGCCAGTTGCGTCCTTGGGAAGAACCGAAACGGTCACGTTAAAGCGGGCCAGGCGAGTGAGGCCACACAGAACGAAGAAGGTAAGACCAAGAGTGTCGGCAAGCGAACGGAAGCCAAGAGTGAAGGCGACCATGGCGGGAGCGACACCGAACGAGATCTGAACAGCATCCTAGTTAGGAACTATATTTCGTGACAACGCGCGCATTGAGACGTACCAAATCAGCAAGAGAATCCAACTCTTGACCCATGAGGCTGCTCTTCTTCCTCCAACGAGCAACCTTGCCATCGAAAAAGTCAAAAAAGAGGCCGAAGGGTAGGAAGAAGAGAGCGAGCCAGAGGTTGTCAAAATCCTTAGGATCGCCGAGTGCGTATCGTAGCGAGGAGAAGATGGACATGACACCGCAAGCACCTATGATGACGCTAGAGTTAGCAAGCCAGCATCTTATTCGGAAGCACGAAGCATGTCAAATGCACCGTACTTCGTAGTTAGGTGTACATACCGTTCATGAGGGTGATTAAGTCGGCGAGGTGCATGGCTCGCACGAGAGAGAAGTGCCCAACATCGGCAGACAGAAGAGTCTTTTGCTTGTCAATTGCTACAACGAAGATCAATGTCAGTTTTAGAGCCCCAAACTCGCTTAATTGTTTCATTCTTGGCCAAAGCTTACCTGGGCTGTTGGAGGTTGTGACGTCCTTGGGGATATTTCCGTTGGAACCCGACATGGTGTTGCTCCGTCTAGACATTCTACGGCGATTCGATGATCTTTGGCGAATGCGAGATTTGGTAGAGTCCCGGTGGTATGAGAAGTCGTAGTGCTGCGAGCAGGAAAGTAGACAATCGTATTAAGCTCCTTGAAGAAAGGAAGCGGTGTCGATGGATGCCAAAAGAGAATATTGGAAGGGTTAAATAATCCTAAAGCTATAAAGCTGAGTGAAATTCTGAGATTCGAAGCCTGCTATGTTTCTGGTGGTTGTGCCAAGTTTCGGAAGAGAGAAAAGAGAGCAGGTTTCGGACAAGTGATTGACGTTGAGGATGGCGTCGCGGTTGCCCTTTCGCGGCGGGACGTCCTTCTTTCCTTGCTTGGGTGGATGCCGTCATTGTGGGCGCTAGTGTTGGCCAGCTTCACGTGATCGCAATGGCTTAGACACCTCAACGATTCCCAATAATAAGTCACCAGCCATCAACAGCTCGTCACATGGAAGAGTAAGGACGGTCATTCAAGGTCACATTCGCATCTATATAAGTGAATCTATATCTATCATATAGGTCAAAATGAAGCTAGATCTTGCATGGCCCCGATTGCCCAGAAGTTCAACAATTTCTGGGGTAGACTATCACATACTAGATTCACATCGTATTCGCATACTCGCTCACCGTCAGATACCTTAGGTAGTTTAAGCGAAGTTAGTTGAATAGTAGGCGCACAAATGGTGTATTCACAAGTAGAACACCGTCCAAACGGAAAGAGAACAACAAAGACTTCAAGGTCAGACATCTGCGGTGTTTATTCTGGTCCGCGCCTGCTCATGGTATAATGCGTATGCGTTGCCCTTTAACTCGATATGCAAGCGTGTATGTAATGTGTGCGGCCTCTTTTTTAGAGACGGTAAACAAAGAAAAGTACCCCAACGCCGGATTCAGATAAAGGTCCCGAACAATGCTTGCGGTATCTGTCTGGCCGCTGTGAGACAAGTAGGCGTATCTTGGCACGCAACTATGTGCATCTGTCCCCCCATACTTCATAATTAACAATTAGTGTTTATCCATAGACAGCTGGTTGTTATCCTGTAGAATGAGTGTGCAAAATCTCGTAATGAAGTGGTTGTTCCTCATTTCATCGTGTGATCAGGACCGAGAAACCATCTAACCACTGGCCACAGGAACCGGAAACACCACAGATGATGTATCCTCGAGGAGGAATCAAAGTGTGCCTAGAGGGCTGAGTTAGCCAAGTTCTTAGTCACTGAGGGATAAACTTACGAATCTCCTCCATGAGCATTTCCATACACGGGCGACTTGCGACCCAGGCTCGTCAAAATTTGTAAGCCGTCGATCCAGAAACCGGACCGAACGACGAAGCCGCTGATGTATTCACCACGACGGACATCTAGGTTTTCCCGGTTAGACTCTTGCCGGCCCATCAATGTGAAAGAACTTACCAAACTCAAAGGTATCTCCCCCCTCTTTGCCGCCCTTCTTTCCAAACACCTGTCTGGAATCATCGTCATAGACAAATTCCATTCCGTCAACGGCCATACCGTGATAAACGATTACACGGGATAGAACTCGATCCTGTTTGACAGCACTCGTAAAGATGGCTTCCGTAGACTGGCTTCCCTCCATCTTAGAGCTACCCAGCTTCTGGCAGCGGAAAGCGTTTTTCCCGTTCGGTAACTTGATGAGGGATTCCTTGGAAACAAACTTTTTATAATCATCAATGTCGAGTGACCCTCCTCCATAAGACTTCACCGAGATTTTGAGGGAACCTTTCCTTTTCTTCTCAGGGAGTCTGCCTCGCAGCTCACTTTCGCTGAGCGTGATTTGTCGAGATGGTGTTCCTTGATCAGTGGGATACTCGATCCAAGCATGACAGACATCATCACCGTCTGCATAAATCTCAACAAAGAAAACTCCTGTGGCCGCCATAACTAGGACGTTGCCATTTTCGACAGGGAAGGCTTGGACGCTACCGTCAGGGTTCATCGGAGGATCGTTGGGAAGTCGGAAAGACGGATGAGCTCGGAAACGCAAGCAATCGAGGCGGTGCCATCCACATTCGTCAGCCTGGAGTGCAAGACCACCCTTGGATTTGGTCCTTGTACAATAGGCCTCTCGAGCTACAAACGTGCGATTGAGTACCACGTAATCTCGTAGCATAATACCACTCTCTTGGTGGGGACATCCGAACAGATGGCCTGTCTCATGCATATGGGCCCCGATACCGATATTGGCAGCTTCCCAAGAACTGCCCGCTTCGTTACAGTCATTAGCCACATGGTTTGTATCCGTCGGAGTACAGTCAGTGAAAGCAGGGACAACTTCTTCGAAAGTAGAAGGGTAACTGTGAAGGCAGTGAGATCCAAAAATTGCTAGTTGAAGATCACCATCGCCTCCTCCAAGGGCGGCGTGGCCGGTCACGGTATTTGCGGCCTTATCCCAGTGAGAATCTAAAATAAGACAAGACACATATAGCTTTTGTCCTGGTAACGGGTTGAAGTATTTCTTGACGGCCTCCGAAGCGATCCCGTACAAAGCACCTTTATCAGTTGCCTTTTCGTTTTGCTGAGCCTTGTTAAGATCTCGAATCTCAGCAAGGGTCTTGTCGGAGCGGATAATGTGCACACGGGCTTCGGAGCGCATGGTACCGTTCTCTTGGTCACGATAGTTGGCCGAGCCTGTCGTCCATTCTTCGTCAAAACGGAAAGCTCGGCGTCCAAGCTTGTTCCGCCACATTTGTTCCGAGGTGAAAGCTTGCCATAGGTAGGCCGCCATTCTGAACTTCTTTACGGCCATTTCCAGGCCATTTCCTTCCTTTTCGGCTCGAGCGGGTGAGGCATCGAACGTTTCCGGTGAGTC